AAATACTAAGCAATCCCAATATACATTTTATTCAAACAGCCACAAATCATGGTCTAGAATTGACATGACATGGATATCCCCTGAATTAAGAAGCGATATACAAGAAATCGAGATAGAAACTAACGTATGGGCAGACCATAATCTGATAAAGATGACCTGGAGACGAACAAAGAAAAAAGCAAGATGGACTTTAAACCAATTCTTATTGAAAGAGAAAGAATTTATACAAGAAGCCATAAAAGAAATGAAATTTTTCTTCAAAGAAAATAAGAAAGAAGATACATCACTCCAAAATGTCTGGGATACAGCTAAAGCATATTTTAGAGGAGTAACCATAACCTATATGGCAAAAAAGATGAAAGACAAAAAACAACAACAAATTAAGCTTAAAGAAGAACTTACAAAACTAGAACTATAAAGAGACCCACAAAAGAAAACTCTTAAAAAACAAATGGAGATAATAAAACACAAATTAAATCTAATAGAGCTGAAGAAATAGCTCAACAAATCAAAAGAGCAAAACAAAACCTTTTTGAAAATGCCAATAAGCCAGGGAGATGGTTGGCTTATAAACTGGAAAAAAAAAGAGAGAAGAAATTGATAAACAAACTGCAAGATGTGAGAGGCAATCTACAATGTCAAAATGATGCAATAAAAAAAATAATTAAAGAATTTTATGAAACACTTTATAATACAGAAGAAATTCCTCAGGAAAAAATAAGGCAATATTTAGAAAATGCTAAGTTACCAAAAATCTCAGAGAATTTCAAAAATATACTAAATGGGAAAATAACAGTGATGGAGTAGACAGAAGCTATAAAAAGACAAAAAAAAAATGATAAGACACCAGGCCCAGATGGGCTACCGGCAGAATTTTACAAATCTTTACAAGATACATTAATTTTACCAATGCAAGAAGTGTGTAATAAGATATTACTAAAAGCCAAATTACCAAATACATGGATAGATGCCAATATTACGCTAATACCCAAAGAAGACACAGACTTGATCCTGATAAAGACAGACCAATATCTCTACTAAATGTGGATTATAAAATCTTTGCTTCAATAACAGCAGAGAGATTAAAGAGATTCTTGATTAAATTTTTACACTCAGACCAAAATGGATTTTTACCAGAGACAAATGAAGAACAATTTAAGAATAATTCTAGACCTGGTATTATATTGGAGGATCTGTTAGAAAGTCCTAATTATTAGCAATGATTGAAGAATATGGAGAGGTAGCAGGACTGAAAATTAATAGAAAAAAGACTAAAGTTATAGTTAAAAACCTCACAGATTAAAAAAAACCTAACTATCAGTAAAGACAGACCTTCAAGTAGTTAAGAAAATTAACTACTTGGGGATATATTTAACAGCAAGATGTGCAAAAATAAAAGAAGATAATTATGTAAAATTATTAAACAAATAAAAGTAGATTTGGAAAAATGGAAAAATATACAATTATCAATCCTGGGAAGAATAGCGACAGTGAAAAATGAACATTTTACCAAAAGTACTCTTTTTATTTCAAACAATATCAATAAAAATTGCCAAAAAAATGTCGATGTTGAAATTTGCCTAGCAAGGGAAAAAAGCTAGAATCAGACTGAAAATGTTACAAGAAGCAAAAGAAAATGGAGGCTTTGGCCTACCAGACTGGGTCTTGTACTACGTATCAAGCAAATGATCCGCGAAAAGGTAAAATCAAGAACTTACATGAAAATACCAGGATGGATTTCAACAATGGAGGCATTTGTACACCCAAACTTAATCAATTATGAGAAACTTGTGACTTATAAAGATATTTTGAAAACTGATAGGAAACTACAAACTAAACAAGAATTGGAAGAACAAGGCATTGAGCTATCATGGTGGCCACACCTGCAAATGCAAATGAGATATGAGAAAGATGCAAAAATATCTGGTTTTTATAAAGACCAGACAACGTTAGACCAGATACTATTGTCATCAGATGACAAATTGATTAAGAAACTATACAACTTTCTGTTAAATTTAAAGATGGAAGATGAACAAGTTAAAGAAACAATGATAACTTGGGCAAAAAACTTTGGGCACATTGTAGAGCTAGAAAAATGGCAAAACCTATGGAAAAGAAACTACAAAATAACGAGGGCAGTTACCTATAAAGAAAATTTATATAAAATGTTCTATAGATGGCACTTACCACCTGCAAGATTAGCAAAAATGTTTAAAAATGTGCCTAGCAATTGTTGGAAATGCAGACAAAATCCAGGCACGTATTATCATCTTTGGTGGACATGCCCTAAAGCAAAGAACTATTGGTCAAAAATACATAGGTGGCTAAAAAAGATGATAGGAACGCAGAATTATTTCTTTTAGGCATAATTTCAGAAAATTATGATAAGAAATGTGTATACTTAATATTACATCTATTAACAGCAGCGAGAATTATATTTGCTCAATACTGGAAAAATGAAGAAATACCATCTGAAGAAGACATAATTAAGAAAATTTTGGACTGTGCAGAAATGGATAGGCTCACATTGAAAATGAAGGGGAAGCAAGATTCAGAATACTTTCAAACACGGGAACATTTTTGTAAATGGTTAGAAAAAATAGAATAAAGGGTAGGAATGGAAATTGTATTATTATTAATGTTAAACACATAAACCCAGACATGTTGCTTATTAATACTAAAGACTGTTACTGTAAAAAAATAATAAAATATACATAAAAAAAGGAAAGGGAAGTACATGGACTTATGCACTTCCAGTTGCTGACAGGTGTGCCACTAATATTCTGACTTGACACCTACATGCTCTCAGGGCTTCATTCTTCTTAGGGCGGTTTTGTGGATTAACTAAATTTTTCTGGGTTCTGATTTTAAGGTGAGTATCCTGAGCTATGAAGGCCTTTGATCTTCTTCTTAAATACATAGTAATAAAATAATGAGAACTAAAGGCTCAAAGGGAAGGCAGATTAGAAAGAACGAGACCTTTTGGGGTCTTCAATTCCCTTCCTGTTAAGAGTTCCTTAATAAGGTTTGCTCTTCCTTCCTAACATCAATAAAGGTGGTTTTTCCAGAAAATATGTGAAGAGCTGTAATTAGTGATTTAACTATGTTTTCTTTTTGCTGTGTTTTAATTTGTATATAATGTATGTTTAATCGAGAAGGGCTTGGAAAGGTAGAAGCTGCCAATATGGAGGCTGCACCTTGCCCTCCAGATCTCTGTCTCCCCTGCAGATCTCTGGAGAGGAGGAGAAGGTGGCAGGGGAGCTGCATGAGGGAAGGCTGCCCCAACAAGCCACCATCCTTACCACGCACAATTGGAAATGGGAATTCCCTTTTGAGAAGGGACAGCCTCCCTTGTGCAGGACCCTGGAGTGCTGCTCCCCTGCCTGCTCCTCTTGCTATCCAGAGATCTGTCAAGACAGAAGTTGGACTTGGAGGAAACTGCTTCCTGCAAACTTTCTCCTCTACGCTTCCATATGCAGCAGTGTCATCCTCCACCTCCTGCTTTGCTTGAGGGGCACCGGACAGGGAAACACCAATGATGTCTGGGATTGGGAGAAGAACATCTCCTTTAGTGTGCTATGTGTGCGTGCACACACACAAACACAAACACTTTCTCTCTCCAAGCTTGGAGACTTGTATCCACATCTGAGCTAGCAAACTGCCAATCATGCCTGGGCTTGGGGAGAAGGCCCTCTCCTTCCTCTGTGGATAAAAGTCCCCAAACTTGGAATGCAGTGTGTGCGTGTGCACGCGCATGCACTTGGCTGCTAGCAGTTTGGGGAGGTGAGGAGTTTGTGGGACAACAAGTTGTCCCCACATCGAGTTAGTTGGTGCGACTTGTTCCGTTCCAATCCAGCTGTCTCGAGTCAGCTGTGTCCAGTGAGTGGCATCGAACAGGCCATGCCCACCTGCTAGGCGACTGGTGGTACTCAAATATTGCCATATCCTAAAGTGGTACAATCTCTGAAAAGGTTGAAAAGCCCTGTCCTAAAATATCAACCAATTTGAAATCATCATTTGATTTCTTAATTAGGAGGTAAGCTTACTTCTGAAAATATCACTGGGCAATCCAATTGTTTTTCTACCTTCTGATATATGCAGGGCTGTCAGACATTTTTATAAATACTAAAACTAGAATCTGGAGTTCTTTATTTTTTAAATTTAAAGAATATAAAAAAAATTAAATAAGGATGGAATGGAACTTGGTAAATGAAAAGATAAATGTCTACAAGCATTTTGTTGCCTATTATGTATTTCTGAAAAAATAATCTAACTTCTACTCCCAGAGAGACTTTTTCCAAAAGGCAATTGGATTTGCTTTTTTTCCCTTTGAAAACATTTCACTTCTCATACAAGAAGCTTCTTCAGTTCTGAACTGAAGAAGCTTCTTGAATGAGAAGCGAAACATTTTTAAAGAAAAAAAAACCCAAGAAAATCCAGTTGCCTTTTGGAAAAAGCACCTTTGGAACAACTATGACCTGGAAGATTGAGAATCTCCGTAGACAATCTAACTTCTACTATAGCTTTTTGGAGAACGCTTAGAAGCACTCCCTATTTAACCCATTAATCTTTTTAGGAAATGCTCTGAAAATTCAAAATGGAAATACAGCAAAAAGACCATGGTTCTCTTATTTCTGGTTATCTCCGAGACTGCCTTCTGCCTCAGATTACCCCCCACCGGCCGATACGCTCCCACAGAGAGGGCCTCCTCAGGGTGCCATCAGCCAGACAGTGCCGGCTGGCGACCCCCAGGAGGAGGGCCTTCTCGGTTGGAGCTCCCACCCTATGGAACGAACTACCCCCAGAGATCCGGGTGATTCCGGATCTCCCCTCCTTCCGCCGCGCCCTCAA